AATTATAGTTTTGGAAAGGGATGCACAGATGCAGTATTTGTGGTATCGAGTATTGATTTTTTTTTTTTATACTTGCCGATGCCGGCATCCGTGGGCCTGGATTATCAGGAAGCCGGCAGTGGGTCCTGGCTTCCTGATTGCCTCCGAAGCTGGCATTCTTTTAAAAGAACACTGGCTTCCGTTCCCTCAGGCAGGTCATGGCGTGCCCTGGCCAGGCAGCCGGGTCCATGCTGCCTCACAGCACTGCTGGTCAGATCTCCCTCTGACCAGAAGTCCCAGTATCTGGGGTATCTGAGCATTTGGGCGAGTACGAGCCCAAATACTCTGTATCGGCACCGATACCAGTATCACTGCATCCCTAGTTGTGGACTATAAGGACCTCTAATAAAAAACAAACCAATATTTACTAAAGGGATGCACCAAAATTTTGGCCGAAAATGGTACTATGGGCAAAATGCAGATAGTACCATAACGAATGACAATGCGGCCAAAAATTCAGTGCATCCTGACCGCTTCTCTCCTCCCTGCTGGGCGCCGGTCTGTGTCCCCTTCGATGCCCACTGCTCTTCCCCGCCTGTGTCAGCAGAGGCAGCAGGGAGGGGTGGGGGACACAGAGAATCCAGCAGGGAGGAGAGGTTTCAGGAGGCCGAGCAGGGCAATGCGTAAGGAGAGAACTCTCAGGATGCCGATCGGGGTGGTGTGGGTAGGAGAGAGCCGTCACAGGAGGCCAAGCTCTCCTACTACACAGACGAGGTTGGAAAAAATAAAAATCATTTTTCGGTTTCAGCCTGACAATTTTTATTTTCGGTCTAAAAAAAAAAAAAATTCATTTCAGTGCATCCCTAGTTTACCATTTATATGCTAAACTTACAAAATAATATATGTAGGAAAACTATGACTACAAGTATTTTACACATTTTAATAGCAAACCATCTACACAGAGCAGAATGAAAGCATGTACACATATGGCAGATCAAATATATAAAACACATACACTGCCAAAGAAATTGTTTTACAGTTAAAATGTACAACAGATTAAACAGATTGGTGTTGACCACTGACATGGGACCACTGGAGACCCAGGCTGCTGCTTATGTGTGAGAGCAATAGGGTCTGACTCTCCACGGGACTGCCAGCAAAGGAAATTTTAACCCTTGCTGCAGCACAAGGGTATATGCTGCTTGACTGCCTAAATACAGAGGGTTCAAATGGTCTGTAACAGGCATATATAAAGCTTGTGTACAAAATTTAAAGCATCAACTAGGTTTATTTGAAAGCCATTGGGGGTACAGGAGGGAGAGAGAGGTGTAACAAAATATGAAAAAGACAACTGTAACAATAAAAAATAAGTAAGTCTGTACATATTTACACACATTTAGCGGTAACATCTAGAACTAAAAACATACTTTTTGCTCATAGCACCGTAAAATGTCATGCTGTAGTAGCAGCTAAATACAAAAAGCGTATTCACATGCATGTCCAAGTAACCAACACAGCAGTGCAACAATGGCTTAAAAATATTATCACTTATCTACATTGGCAGGAGAGTGCAAAGTGTCAAGTGCACAAATATAAAAATATACATTCGAGATCTTCTACTGAAATGTCACCTTCAAATAAATAACTAACTAACGGTGGAATGTACTGCTTCACAATTACTTACACAGATCTGTTTTGGTACCAACAGGTCACACAGCAATGACATTACATTATACGCAGCAAAGTCGGTGCTACATTACTACAGAGCGTTGGTTGAAGTGTCACAACTTCCCTTCTTGACACCAATATCCACTGTATTAGTGTGCAGATGTATACTACAATCAATGTGTCTTTTTGAGGGCAGATGAGGACATTGTTTACACATTCACCACAACTTACTTAATGCAATTAATATAGCATGAGGTTTATAAAATGACCTAGGTCTGAACCAATTATAGAAAAACTACAGAAATGGAGAGTGGGCACATTATCCACTTTAAAGCCTAACTGCAATCAAAACCGCAATTTAAATTTTGGATCAAGTGGGAAAAGGTTACACCGCGTTTTTAATTGCAGTCTGTATCCTCATAGGAAAGATTCTGCCCTCTTGTTAAAGTGGAAGTACAAAAAAAACCAAAACTAACCATTGCCGATTGGCAGGCTTTCTATGCCAGAAGAGACTGTGCAAGTCTTTTCTGCCAGAAAAGCTTCTAGGTGCCTGCCAGCAATTCTTTTTTTCCTGTACACATGCATCATCAGGGCCTAGCCAGTGAAGCAGCCCAAGACTTGAAACCCAGAAGACGACCAGGTTGAAGATAATGGGCCTGTTCACATATGAAGCGCTAATACCAGGATTAATGAATCACACAATGTACCTAGCGTGCATTACCATGCACTACGTGAATTGGCATTCTTTTGAATGGCGCACTAACGCACCCACTGGCCGCATTGTAGTGCACGATGGCCAGGAGCTATGCTGGGGTGTCATTAAAATGAATGAAAATGCAATGTACCCAGTGCACAGCAATGCAAGCTAGGTGCGTTGTGTAATAGCAACCTGTAATCACATGGAATTGTGCAATCAATGCTATGCTCAAAACTGGCTCTTAAGCCCCAGCGAAGGAGCATCAATAGAGGGGGATTGCTTTTGCAGGCAAGTATGCTGTGCATTAGGGATGCACCGATACAGATACTAGTATCGGTGGCGATGGCGATACTGAGTATTTGGGAGAGTACGAGGTAGCCTATGCCTATCCCGATACCAGAACTTCCGGTTTCTGGAAGCCAGGCAGCGAGTCCTTACACACCCCCCGGCTTCCTGATTGGCCGGAAAGCTGGCTCCATGCCCTACTTGGTGAGGGAGCATGGAGCCGGCTTCCCAGCCAATCAAAAAGCCGGCACTGTGGACTCACCGCCCGGCTTCCTGAATGGTCGGGAAGCTGGCGAATCAGGAAGCCAGGCGGGGAGTCGTTAATCCGCCCAACCCCTTGGCTTCCCGATTGGCCAGAAAGTCGGCTCCATGCCTCCGACACCAGGTGACGAGTGAGCATGAAGACGGCTTCCCAGCTAATTGGGAAGCTGGGGGGGGGGACAATTTAAGACGCGATAGGGAATTAGCTTTGATTGAGTAACAAACAGCAATAAAAACACTTTCGTAGAGCTGACCCTTATGTCCATTTAGAACAAAGCCAGCAATAAATGGACAAAGGATAGATTTTTCCCTTGCTTATTGCCTCAGTGATACCCTATCACTTCGAGAGACAAAGGGGGTCACATGGCACAGAAAATAAAGGGGGTATTCTTCCTTAATGGGACCCAGAGCACTAAAACCTAGAAGAGGTCTAACTCTTTCTCACTAATAAAATAAAAAATACAATTCTACCTGTCAGTTGTGATACAGACCATGGTCTCAGTTGGACAAAATAAGAACGAACGGACATGAGAAACTAATTTGTAAACACAAACATTAATGTGGACAAATAGGCATTCATAACATACATTCGCTAGCTCAAATAAATTAAGTAGACGGCAAGTTAACTTCCAGCGATACATAAACCAGTAAAGGTCATGCATCCAGATATACGAAAATATTCAATATGTATACTTAAAGGGGGTGTATAGTACACCTCTCTGTAGAAATGCACAGGAAGGGATACAAAAAGAAAGACACTTGTAACAGCCTGAGAACAAAATCTCACAATGTTTGCTACTCTGCAACATAAACCAATGTAAAAAAACAATTACTTTTGGTGCCCACTGGTAAAAGTGTCTCCCAGGAATGCATGAGGCATGCAGTCCTGCTAGCCCTGCAACACACCAGCTGCATTCTTTAAAGAAAGCCTGCCATTAAGTAGATCCAGAGGCTGCCATATTCGACCTCAAACTGCTAGATGTCCAGTCCAATATCTTCTGAATCATTCAGCTGCCACACGTGTGCAGTTCAGGAGTGTCTGAGTAAAGTCAGAACTCATGGTCTGCTAACTTGTTCAGGAAAATACTGAAGCTGGAATATTAGTGCTACCGCCAGACAACTAGCATTTTCAGGAGGAGGTCAGCAATAGCAGCCTCTGCGAAATTCTTTTCTTTAGGGATGCACCGATACTGGTATCGGTGCTGATGGAGTATTTGGGCGAGTACTCGTACTTGCCCTGATACCGGAATCTCCAGTCAGAGGAAGACTTCTTCTGACTGGTAGTGCCGTCAGGTAACATGGAGCAGGCCAATCAGGAAGCCGGGAGGTGGGTAATGACTCGACGTCTGGCAAGCCAAATCCATGCTGTTTGGCCAGCTCGATGCGGATTGGCAGCTGGCTTCCCAGCCAATCAGCATCAAGCTGGCCAACGACATGGAGTTGGCTTCCCAGCTAATCAGGAAGCCAGGCAGCAGGTAATGAAACGCCGGCTCCATGCTAGCGAAAGTACTGGCATCAGTACTCGGCATCGACGAGTTCCCGAGATATTTTTTTTCTATCAGTACTCTATACCGAAAAACCGGCATCTGTGTATCCCTTCTTTTCTGCAAAGACAAATGACTGCTTCTGTTGCATATAGATGGGCAGACTTGCCAATTTTAAATTATGGGATCATATAACAGTATACATATTTTCATGGTACGATTCAGTCAGGCCCTTAGCCTCTGTTCGTATCTATGCGATGGAGAAATGCTCACGTTCCCGCATAGCACAAGATTGTGGGTGACACTGTTAGCTGCTCTGCAGTTCAATTTGTTAACCTAGCCCTTGCATGTGCATCGCACAACACATAACATTGCCATGCGAGATTAAAAAACTGCATGTGCGCTGTTGCAGGTGTGCACGGGGGCTTAAAAAATGTAAATCGGGCACCAAATGTGATTCACGTGTATTCACAGTTTAGGAAAGTAGATGTGTAACAGTTAAGCTTCTTATTTTGGGAAAGGGATGCAAATAAAAATAAAAAAAATTCTAAAAACTAAGCAGAAATAAACTAAAATGGGCAATATACAACTATAAAAATAGTTACATTGTTGGGACAAAACTTCTTTGAACCCCTTCTACAAAGGGAGTTTAAAAAGCAAAAGCTATGTTTAACAAAAGGAATCTTAGCAGGCAGGTTCTTCATCTAGGCTCACAACACATGCATGTTCCTTCAGAGTCCAATTCATCAACAGAAGTATTTCATGCTGCGAGCCTTTCCCACTGACGTCTGGCATTTGGCCTCTAAATGTCAACAGATCCTGATACATTTCATTGGTGACATCAAGAAGAGTTTGAAGTGCAGAGGTCTGAAATTCAAGATGGTTCTTAGCGTTGAAATGGCTTGTCCAGTTTAATAACATCCATATCACAGGTTTAGCTTCTTGAGCTGTTCATATGTAATAAAGAACTGAAGAGAGTTAAGGATACAAAGCTAACGACCAATAAAACACAACCATGCATTACTTAAAGCAAAACTGTACTTCAATCTTTTTCCTCACCCACCTTTAACCCATTAAAACTATCTTTTTCCCCCCTCTTTACCAAGTCAAGTGAATTTATAATTTATTATATTATAATTTTTTAATTTTGTGTTTCAAACTTTATCATACCTGGGATGTCTACTGGACTCTTGTTTGGACAGATTTAGGTGAGTTATTCCTAGGATTTACTAAGAACTACAGGCCTACAATGTAAAACATATTTGCTTGAAAAACAATGTACTGCTTTTGGTACCTAAAATCCTGAATAATCATACCGCCAGGGAGGTTAAAGTCTAAATTTGGTTACAGGCAGTCCCGGACTTGCGAACGCCCGCCTTACGAACCGAGGTCCGATTGCCTCTACCACCCACAGTGTAGTGACAAAACTACATACAGCGGTCACTCAGTGCCACAGACTTTACTGCAGTTCATTGTAAAAAATAAAATAAAAAAACTTTGTACAATGAACTGCGTTAGTGACAGCTATATGTACCGGTGTCGGCAGTATAAAGTATTTTTTGTTGTTTTTTTAGTTTTGATAGACTGGGGAGAAAATCAAATACTGTATCTCATCAGATTTTTGAAGAGCTGAACAGTTTAGTGGCATTATGTTCCTGAACAGATTAAGCCTCGCTTTCTGTGTTGTCACTGGGACAGAAGCGAGGGGAAATCTCTCCAATGGGCACACAGACCCCCCAACAAACATTAAATAAACTGCTTATAAGACAGCAAATATAACAAACATTAAAACGGAGTGTGAATAGTAAAAAGGATACAATAATGTTCCATGGTCCCAGTCTTAACCAGTTTGGCCAAAATCCTTTGTACAAAGCAAAGAATCCTTCATTCTTCCAGGTCTGAAAAGAAAAACACCATGTGTCAGCACAAAAATAGACATTAAAAAGGATAATGCAGCTTTTTAGACCATGCTTTAGATTACATCTATATTTAGAGTGAAGCATGGCTGCGCCCTAAACCAAAATGCCCAACTTCCTTACCTGGCTGCTTCTTACTGTACATTGATTGATTGATTGATTTTTAACTTGGTGTGGCGGTTTGTGACTCTGCCCGCACAGCCACGTCATCCATTCCCCGGGATAGATGAAAATACAAGTCCCACTGGCAACCAGACGTCACAGCAAATGTAGTCCAGCCAGCACTTATCTTGCCTCATAACAGAAGGTCCATACCTTTGTACAGACCTGGGGCAGGTGTAACACTACAAGAACCTGTGCATTGCACCTATGACATGTTGATCTCCTTTGCAATGCTCTGCAGGCCTCATTTCTATTATGCCAATGTGTGTGCATTTACTAACAGGAGGAAGAGTTTGGAGAAGGCAGGAGAAGTGAACAATCTAGGACAACATAGCTGAACTGGAAAAATCATCCAATTCAGCTTACTTTCCAGTTCAGCTATGTTGTCCTAGATTGTTCACTTCTCCTGCCTTCTCCAAACTCTTCACGCTTTAGTGAATAACCCTGTACATTTTTTGCAAATAGGTGGGCTGTGCCTTTAAAATGATAATAAACAGAGTGTGAAATCTCTGCTATTTTGTACGTTCAAAACAATGTCAATAATGGATTTATAGAAGGCCCCAAAACATTTGGGATTATTAAAATGGGCCCAAGTTTAGTTTTTTTTCACAGAAAAGTTCCCCAGGAACCAATTTATATGCAAGGCACATGGTAAAAAACACCCCCACTGAAATAAGCACTACATACCTGCAGCAGACAATCCAGAGTGCCTTTGTAGCTTGACCCATCACAGATGGCACTTTGGTTCATCATACGTGTGCGAACAACATCCACAGGATTGGATGCTAAAGCTCCCGCCAATCCACATGTAAAACTGGACCTAAATGAAAGAATACCTCAATAATCAAACAAATGTTTACAATAGCCAGGAAGAAGAAGAAGAAGAATTTGATGATTGCATTTTGCTTATTTAGCATTCATACTGCCCTCCAGACTATAGGGCTCGGCATTATATTGTCTCCTTTATAAAAAGAAAATGGGAGAACATGCAAAATAAAACTATTACCTGTTCTCAGAGCAAAAAACAGAATAGTATATACACAGAAAGCCTCCGATATTTTTATTTTATTTTAGACAGTTGCATAACATCTAATAGAAACCTCATATTGGGGGAACAACCTATACAGCAGTACACTAATCCCTAGAATATTTCTCATGCAGTAAATAACAGGAATAAGGTTTTTGCAAGCCACGTAAGCATTGTTAAGGGTTGAAATATACCCAATGCAAGGCAACTATTTTCACACATCGCATTGGAAAAAAAAACAAAAAAAAAAACAAAACACATTTTTGGGGCAATACATGTTAAAATACGAATAAATGTGTAGTAACACAAAGCAGTTTAAAGGCCAACTCTGATGTAAGAGTTAACTGCTGGTTAAGTCTAGGGGTGCAAGAAAGAGCAATACTTGCCTCACTCCAGCAGGCTACCTCTACATACAATACAGGGTTAATAGCCCTGCATTGTACATGATGACACTGAGGAACCACCCACAGCCTGGAGACCACGAGAAAGCTGCAGCAGGGAGGTTGCAGGTAAAAGGCAAGTAATCTCTTCTTGTACCCTCTAGGCCTATCATTTAACCCTTGCAGGGACTGGGCTGACCACTAAGGATTTTTGTTCGTCTTGTGCCCGGAGTGGAGCCTTAAATAAAAAACACACAGCACCGTCTACTCAAATATTTATAGAACTTAAATCATTCACATTATATACACCTCACAACAATAACGGAACCTGAGCACTTACACAAAGTGTGTAAACATGGTGTCTCCCATCAGTCCAGACAGGATGAGGTGTTTCTTGGTGATATCATACACGGGTAACTCCACACCTACTACTATAGCTGCTCTCTGTGCAGTGAGCGACACTCCCTGGAAAATGGCACAGATGCAACACATTACTCACTCATCTTAAAACAGCTGGGTCAATCACATGCCATCAACTAGTGACAAATAATTCACCTTCCACAGTCCTCTGGTCCCTTCCTGCTGGTAAATGCTGATAAAGTTCCCAATCATTCCCCCTTGAAATGTGCTTCCTTGTGCCTGCATTCTTATCTGTGGCAGGAAAAGTGAAATGGGTAAGGTACAATAATGAACTCTGCACACTGGACTGACATTTGCAAATTGCAGTTACATGTGTTTTATGAATGGTGATACACAAAAGAGACTGTGGTCCCATTCACACATTATACACTATATACATTATACTATATGCATTATACACAAGCAATAAAGTGTTTTTTTTTTAAAAAAGGTAAACAAACGACAGCTCTGGCAGTGTGTGTTTTTTCACCACATCATCAATATACAGAAGTGGATACAATTTGTAAAGATGTAATTAAAACTTTATAATATGAAATATCAAAAAAAAAAGAATATGAATCAATTAATACACAATCAAAAGCCGTGTCAATTAAAAGCACATTTGTCCCAGGGAAAACTTAAAACAATAATTTTCCATGGGATGCTAGGCTTCACCAGCGCCAGAGAACTGCAGTTTCTTCTGCAAAATAATGCTGTCTCAAGTATTGATAAACACATGGAAGACAGAGGGTCAGGATAAGAGCCAGGCAAACTGTATTCCCAGAACGAGGTCTGAAATGGCCACAGCAATGTTTCATGACAGATTCCCTTAAATTCAGGTTAAAAATTCAGTTTTGAGTATTTTTGTTTTAGGCCAATGAAAGCTAGCACTAGGGGGAGGAGATGGTTGTTAAGCCTTGAAAAATGCTAACATTTTGGTTCTTGAGCATTTTGGAGCTTTGAGCTACAAGCTATAAAATGCTCAGGTGTGAACCAGAGCTTAAAGCGAAAAAAAAGGCCCCCTCAAGAAAGACTTTCTTTCGCTCCTCCCTTCCTGGCGCTGCTTTCTTCTTTTGGGTCTGCCATATTTTGCCTCCTGATTGGCCAGCCTGCACAATGTACTTCCTGCACATGCAAGTTACTTTGTTTCGGCATGCTGGGTCTATGCGCTGAGCTGCGCACCCTAGAGCAGAAACAGAAAAAAACCCCACCATTTGCCGACAGTCAGACAGAAGCGACATACAGTCCCTTCTACCATAGAAAGCCTAGCAAATCGGCAATCTTTTGGGGGAAGACGCTTTACATCTGCTTTAAAACAGGCTCATAAAAACCAGTAACCATCCCCATCCAAGCTCTCAGGTTTTATCCAGCACAGGCCTTAATCTGAGCCATCTATGATTTGTACAGCATGATGTGTTCCACTATTTATAGTCCAGCTAAACAGCAGAGCTAGTACAGATTTATTAATAGCCAAACACAGCAAGTGCTGTACAAGACTGGCCCTCAGATAAGGGAACAGATACAGTTCCCAAAACAATTTTTGCATCCTAAATTCCCACCAGTCAGGAACAGTACATCGTGTATAGGTTAAGTCAAATAGTCTATATGTCAGTTGTTATTTTAAGTAGTACAGAAATCCATGTTCTCCCATTTCAGGCAGACTGCCAAGTATTCTCGTCTCCTATTATAGGAATACAGGCATCTGAGATGAAGCAACATATGTTTGGTATGAATATAATATATTCTGTCCACTGTGCTCCCACATGGGTCTCCCTGAACTCTGCCCTGCTTCTGACAGTATACAAAAACATGAACTAGAAGGCACATTACACTTCACACCAGTTCCTCGTGCTCAGCGCCTGTATTATGAACAATGTCCTCATCACTCCCACTCCACACATCCGTCACATGTTAAATACAAAGTAAACACAGCACCGTCTGTTCTGATTTAACCAGTGTGCTGAACCCTTTAAAGATAGCAAATGGATGTACAATTTTTCAAAGTAATGGCTTGAATTAGTTGGCTTACATAAAAACAACAAATATAAATATAGAATGGCCTTCTTCTTTACAATACATCTCTTCCAAGAGGAGTTTGTTTCTCATTTTAGGATAAGGTGCAGAGCCATGTAAATTATTTCTTTAGGGCCCATTCACACCCCAACACTGTTGTAAACACACATGAGGACACTTTGTGCTGCAATAAAAACAGCCCATTCAAAATGAATGGGCCGAAATGCAGCGGGAGAAAAAAAAAAGGGAGGGCAGGATTTTATAGCAGTGCACAGGACACCACATATGTGTTTTAGAGGTGCATTGGGATGCCCTTCACAATGAATGGTAAAGCAGCGCACCAACATGTAAAGTTCATTGCAGCATATTATGGCAATAATGTGAATGGGCTCTTAAGCTCCTGTGGAATTTGTTTCAAGTATACTGGTTTATAACATATGCATACTTACTAGGGATGCACCATTACCGGTTTTTCGTGGAAGAGTACCGATATATTTTTTTTCTCCGGTACTCGCCGATACCGAATACTGGAAGTCACATGAAGGAAGCCAGGCGGGCCTGTGATGACATGCCGCCCAGCTTCCCGATTAGCCGAGAGGTGTGTAATGACTCGCCGCCCAGCTTCCTGATCCCTCATCACCAGGTGACTAGGGCGCATGGAGCCGGCTTCCCAGCCAATCAGGAAGCCGGGCAGCGTGTAATTGCCTTGCCGCCCAGCTTCCTGATATCGGAAGTTCCAGCAATGGGAGCATTTGGGTGAGTACGAGTATGACTCGCCCAAATACTCGGTATCGGCGCATCCCTAATACTTACTTTGGGCCAAGAAATGTAAATATGTATAATACTTTATACCTATGATAAAATGAAGGGCTAATAATTAGACCCACAAAAATATTTCAGTTACATTTATTTCAGTTGAAAAACTGCAACCTATGCTACAGTTGTCACTGCGATACTAGCAGAAGCTGGCAAAAGGTCCCCACCGATTGCAATTAATAGATGTAAATAAAATTAGAAGTGGCTTTTGTGCACTTTCACAATCAATCACCTAATATGATGCAATGGGTGGCCCATTTCTTTCAGTAAAGAGAAGGAAAAAGAATAAAAAAGGGGGAGGTGGGGCTACCCCAATCGCACAAAAGGTTCTTTGCTATACAATACATGCACTTCAGCCAATGAAACATTACCTTTAAAACATCTGTAGGGTTGGCAATACATGAGGAAACCACTCCAGACAAGACACCACAAAAAACATTAAGAACCAACGTCTCATCTATAGGAATGAAAGGGAAAAAAAAAAAGTTCAAGAAAAACAAGGAAAAAAAAAAAAAAAAAAAACTCACTGAAGTTAATCTGAAAGTGTGAGTAATATGCATTTAAAAATGTGTTCTGGGGGCCTATTCACAATTGTGCATTTTGGCAACAAATGCTAAACCGCACATGCTAACACATTGCCACAATGCATGGCAACACACCAGCTATAAAAGGCAGTAGAGTGCAAGGCATGATGCACCACAGCAGATCGCTTTAGTGTAAAATTAGCACTACATAACAGGGTTTCAGTATGCCTGAATATTAGGTCAGATGGTTTTATTTTACTAAACAAAAATGCTCTTCTGTGTACAGTGCTTTGCAAGTTCTCAGCAGTTATTTACATATCAGGTGCTCCTGTTATACAACCTTTAATTCCCTTGCATAAGCAAGGCCCCATCAATTAAAACACAGATCAGCAGTACAAAATAGATACAACTAAAATTAGAGCTCTTCTGGATTGAGCTAGAGGACTTAAAAGGGAACCTCCATCATCCAAATAGGCAATATTTCTTCACCTATGAGCACGTACAAATTTATAAATGTACATCATGCAGATCAGGGCCATCTTAAAAATACACTACACAAAGCAAGACTGAAGGTGTATAGCAGCTCCATAAGCTGCCTGTTTCTATGTTTTCAGTATTGACCTCACTTGTTCCGAAAGCCAAATGCTTACACAGGGGTTTGAGGACAGAGCTGATAAAAAAGGTACGAGTGGACATCTCATGAGGTCTTCCTACTTAATCTACAGTACAACAACATATCTAAGGATAGGGGATAAGGACATTAGGGCAGGGCTGGACAAATCCTAGGAGCCAGGTAGCTATTGTGTTCTTAAAAATGACAGCTGATGCTTAACTTTTGAGGTTCTGGCTAGTTGTTGTAATCAATGGAGTGGGCTCCTAAAAAAAAAAAAAATCTTGCTGGCTCCAGGATTGGACAGACTGGCTCCTGAATTTCATATTAAATTTGTCCACCCCTGCATTAGCCTCAAGCCCTAAAAGAGTGAACAACATTATAAAACTCCTCTGCAGCAAAATAACTAGATGCACCCTTTTTACATCAGTATATTTTCCTAAATATTTCAGCTATTTTCTGCGTGCTTAGGATCTTACATCATTAGACTCAAACATGGGAGTTGTTTGACAGACCTAAAAGCTTTATACATACCTTCAGGGCGATCAACAAATAATCTCTTCAGGCTGTGATAAGTGCCGATTTTAATAGTTCCATATGATGCCTGGCGAAGCATTGCTGGTGCAATCCTATGCAGGAAAAGAAAAAAGAAAAACTTAGACATTTGCTTTTTAAGAAGAACTTGCTTCTGTGACACTACCGGCAGGATTAGCACCTCATTCATTGATGGCAATAAATCTTTTTGCTACCCTGGCATTTAGCCATCTCTTCAACAAATCATATCTTACACAGCTAGAACACTCTCAAGCAAATAGAGTGTAATGTACAAAGACCAAGATTATAATCATCAACTGGACACAGAATTGAGGCTAAAAAGCTTAGCGTATTTCCACTTTTGCAGTCCAAATTGAGAAAACGCATACATACACGTGGGTGTGTGGGGTGGGTGTGTGGGTGTTCCCATGCACACATCATATGGAAAAATATTTTAACTAAAAAATAATTTAAAAAGGATTCTTAGGTTTTAAATATTTATTTGGAGCAGGCCTTTGGGCAGACCACAGGCTACTCCGAACAGTTTCAAAGCAAGTCTGTCCCCAAGGCAAGTTTCCCCTCATTACCATACAATGCTAGAAGCCAAGTATTTAGAACGTTAACCCTTTGTTAGGACACTGTTCAAATATAGTTTACAACTAAGATCTGCCAGCACAGTATAAATAGGGTTAAATATGGTTAACACTAAACTCCCCGACCCCTTCCATGAAATTACAGCAAATGGAAAAACTTCAGGTTTTGGAGTTTCAGAAAACAGCAAGCAAAATGGTAAGCAACAATTTGTAAAGCTATATGATGTGTATGGGAACATGTAACAAATCTAAAAATAAATAATAATAAAGTGTTGTCCTAATTTGGCTGCATAATTGGAAATACCCTTTAAAACCAATCAGTCTAAAAAAAATTAAAGTGGTCAAGTTGGTGGTAATCACATCACAGATACTTCTCTCCATATATGTTTCTGTCAGGTAAATCTTTAACTGGATAGTTACCGGTAATACTTTGCTTTCCGCTTTTGAGGGTGGAGGTAAAGCTTTAGGCTCCTTGTCGTGTTTTACAGACTCTGATCTAAACCCTGGTAAGAGTTTGGTTAACAATTTAGTCACTTGTGACTCGTCCCTTATACAGCTGGGCACAGTTTCAGACAGACAAAGCCTCAAAAGCAGTCACTAATGATAAAGCCCACAGCACTCTGGAAATCCTTAGTCTTATTAAACATTTTATTGTAAAGGAGAGATTATACAAAATATACTGATAGTATAATCAGTGGTGGGTTCTCGAACCTTTAGCACGAGGTCTACCCAACGACGGCAGAGGCAGCAATGAAAACTTGTAGGAGGTTACAACCTGTCCCCATTGTAAATGAGCCGACATGAAATGAACAGACATAAGAAAAAAAAACAGTGTATGATCTGCAAAGCCACACTGAATTAATGCTAAAGATTTGTTTAGCAGATAGGGAATATGGCAGTATATACAACATAGGATTTATATGTTTTCAGTAGGTTAAGAAAAATTATGGGAATGGCTGAATTTATTAAGTGTTCTGCTAGCTTTGCATAATTTAGTTCCAACAGGACTGTACTGAGATCTCCAGACAAGCATGTGGATTTAGGTGAAGGTTCAGTAGTGTTTGTACATTGCTCTGAAGATTTTGTAATCTGTATAAATAGGGAGGTATTCTCCGGGAGAAAGGACTTCTAATAACATCCACGTGTCTGGCTACTCACAACAAACAAAAGTATTATGAACTTTTCTACAAAATGACTGAAAACCACAACACAAATATACAGTTTCTACACTCTCATAATACATATGACCATTTTAGTGATATGGTCTACCTGTCCAATATTGTAGGACGTTTAACACACACAAAAACGTAGTATTGCAGTGTGCAATGATACCTTTCTTTTCAGACTAACAAAATATATAAAAGACAAGCTTTTGAGAGTGAACCTCTCTTCTTCAGGTCAGAAGCAATACTAATCAACATGACAGTTTGTCAGTTAAAGCAAGAGAAAGCTGTTGTTAGAGGGGGAGGGGGGGTCATAAGGCTGGGTTCACACCTAGGCGGATTGAATATGCACGTTTTTCGCGCTTTTTTTTACCGCGATTCGCGGTAAAAAAACCGCGCGTTTCCGAGGGGTACTTGGCTGTATCCCAATAGAACCGCCCGACCAAAACGCCCCAAAGAAGTACATGTACTTCTTTGGGCGTAGGGCGGTTTCCCGCACATTCGTACTCGTGGAAAACCGCCCAGATGGGAACCATGCACATTGAAAATAATGACATTTCCCTGTTTGAGCGTTTTTCCGCGAGTACGACAGCGCGGAAAAACGCCTAGGTGTGAACCCAGCCTAAATGTTGGACCTGGGAGTAAAGAATGCCTCCTGATAATCAAAAGACAGAACAAACAAACATAGGGTGACAAATAAACCCTAAACAGATCAGAGATATACAACATACATGAATATTGTGATGTTCTGAAGATTCATAAAAAAGTTCAGGTATTGTGTCAGAAAACCAGAATCCACATTAAGTCCCTCCAACAACTAGATAGTGCAATGTCAATGAGAATATTAGGGATTGTAAATAGGAGTTCCCTATCGTGCCAATTTGTGTCCAGGAAAACCCAGAAAGCTGCTAAGCCCTATAGGAGAGGAGTGCTGGATCTCAAGTGATTAAAAGGAAATGTGTGTCATGCAAGAAGCAGGGAAGCTGCCATTGCAGACCAAGCCTTTTGAAAATGCATGTTGATTGGCTTTTTCCCCGACCCTCTTGCTGGAATACTTTGTGTCCCTCATCATACATGGGAATGCCAACTAAACATTCCTTTCAATATTTGCATACACCTCCTTCTCGTCTCTGGAAAAACAGGATATATAAATCTAGCCAGCCAGAGTACATATAGAAAAATATGTTACTTACCCAGAATACAGAGCTTTAAATCCCTCCTCTTGACCTATTCTGACCAGTGCATGGAGCATTCCTCGGTAGCGGATTTCTTTGTATTTTGCATCATTTGCTTGTCCTTGCACCTGAAGCCGTGTTTTTGTCAAGTCTATAGGAAAAGTGCCTAGGGGGAAACAAAAAAACTCAAATAAAAAAAAATAAAAAAGGAGAAGGACTTTCAACCTTGAAAAGGGAGGCTGTTATCAATAACCATGAGGCTCATCCACTGCTTTGGGGTCGACACTTTGATTCCTAAAAGCAGCGCTACCTCTGGGGTTGGCACAACACTGCACATTTCTGCAGATGTATGATTTGCCTGGGAGCCAGGACTTGGACAATAGCAGCTTCCGGTACAGGACAGGAGCCTTGGCTGTGCCAGATAACTAGATCAGTTCGCTGAATAGGTCAAGCTAAATATCTTTCTGAAGGGGGTACCAATGACAGACTTACAGACTACATGGGCATTCCAGGGACATAAAAAAACAAACCATTACGATTGTGACATGTTTGCTGGAAAGTCATACAATTTAACATCAGTGTGTTATTAGGCCAGTTAATGCAAGAGTACAATTCAGCCATTGTTCCATGAACACAAAAATACTGCAAAAGTAAACAGTAACTGCACACCACTCAAGGGTGCTGACCCAGGGCAAAAAAATAAATCAAATTACCCCAAAAATCCAATAATTAGCCATACACGAAGGGACAGATAAATAAAAAACACTTTATTGCAGTATTTGTGTTACTAATGAGCACATGTAACTTAGAAAGCAAATTAGAAAGGGCAGGGAGGCTTCCAGGCAACTGTGCGCCAGTTCCTTTTTTGTCTGCTATCACATTTCCCAGGCTATCCTTTTCAGCACAACCGAATGTAATAAATACTTCCCCCCAGCTTTCAATGAATACAGAGTGATGAATCAACTAAGCTAAAAGTTCTGCCTTCTAGTAAATCACCCAGAACTTACCACATTCAGCTGTAATTGACGCTAATCCTCCATATATAAAAGGCTTCCAGTTTAAAGCAGACATGGTAACCTCCGGAGTCTCTATTTTGCCTGCAACATACAGATCATAAAATTTTAGTTGGTGATCAAGTCAATGAATGGATTAATAAACAGTACAGGGGGAATAAATCTGATAAAAACTACACCAAGAATATGTGAAGGATAAAGATTGGTTCATTATCTACAGGATAAAATAAAATGATTAAAGCAATTCCTAAACATGCATGCCAACTATTTATAGAGCCGATTGACTGTTTTAGCTGCTCCGACTCCCTAAACAACAAAAATAATACAGTTAATAGTAGGGATGCACCGATATATCGGCCGCCGAAACATATCGGCCGAAAATGGAACTTTTGGCATAATGCCGAAAGAGGCATGTTTCGGCCGATACATCGGCACATCCCTGCTTTTTCTCCCCGCTGGACGCTGTTGCAGCCGGGAGAAAAGAAAGTGACAGCCGGCCGAGCGCTGCAGGACGAGTGCGCTGTGAGCGGCCGGCGTCTCTCCTCCCACACCGCTCAGCCGCCTATCACAGTCCGGCAGAGCTGTGTGGGGGCGGAGACAGCGCTGTCACAGGAGGCTGGGCTTTCCTCTCTACACCGCTCGATCAGCCTCCTGTGACAGCGTGTCAGAGAGAAAAGCAATGTACACACACTCAGTGATCGCTGAGTGTTTGTACATAATTGAGGATATGGTAGGTTAACTATATCCTCAATTATGAATGAATGGGAGTGATCTACATCACCCCCATTCATTCATAATTGTGGTTATAGTAAACAATATTCTCAAGTTATCAATGAACAGGAACACTCAGAGGATTCCTGTTCATTGATAACAGGGGGCACAGAAAAAAAGGATTGGAGGACTTTGTGTTCTCAATCTCTTTTTCTATTTTAAAAAGGGAAATATCAGGGGTCTGTTTAGACCTCTAATATCTCCCCGAAGCCCCTAAAAGTAAAGTAAAAAATAAATAAAAATAAATATTGAAAAAATAAAAAACATTTTCGGTATCGGTTTTGGCCTGACTTTTTTTTATTTCGGTTTAGTTTCTAAAATTTCCATTTCGGTGCACCTCAGCTTATTACATAGTAAACCTTTATTGCATACTAGTGCAGAAATTAGCTTTCAATCAGAAAAAGTTGGCTTATTTGTTTAAAAAAAAAAAACAGCACAAAAAAAATAAAATCACAATACGTTATCTCTAATAATAACTATACTAGGTGTGGATGGCTGCGACTTATTGTACAAATTATACATTGATTGAAGCTGGAGAATATGCATAGCGCTATATTTCTGGCACTGCGGGGATGAAGAGTAGCTGCTGCGACAGTGAAGGACTCCAGTTATATAGCCGCTCACTCCTCTCCTCCTCACTGAACACCTTTTATTGCAATTGTGTTTTGTGAATGGATTTGGGGGATTCAGTCATATACCCACCCTCCTCTCACTTCCCCCATTTACAGAATACCATGCATTCTTTGGTATGACACAAGGCTTTTTTGTGAATGGACGGGGAGAGGAAGGGGCAGGTACAAAACCAGACCCCTTCACTGACTTAGCTCTTCATCCCTGTAGTGACTGAAATAGTGTTGTTTCTAGTATCCTGCTTCAATCAATATATACACCAATCAGTCATAACTATTATGACCACTGAGAGGTGGAGTTAATTACTTTCTTTATATCATTACAATGGCACCTGGAAGTGGGTGCGATATATTAGGCAGCAAGTGAACATTTTGTCCTTGAGGTGTTGGAAGCAGGAAAAGAAATGGTTAAGTATCAAGATTTGAGCAACTGACAAGAGCCAAGTTGTGATAGCTAGCCAAGTTGTGATCAGAGCAACTCCAAAACTGCAGCTCTTGTGAGACTTTCCCAGTCTGCAGTGGTCAGGATCCACACAAAAAAAAAAAGGAAAATCAGTGAACCAGCAACAACATCATGGGCGGCCAAGGCTCATTGATGCACGTGGGGAGTGAAGGCTGGCCTGTGTAATCTTATCCAATAGAAGAGCTACTGTAGCTAAAATTGCTGATAAAGTTGAAGCTAATGCTGGGTCCGATAGAAAGGTGGCTGAACAGAGTGCAGTTTGTGGTGTATGAGGTTGCATAGCCGCAGTCAGGGTGCCCAGGCTGACCTGTGTCTACCGCCTACAAAGAGTACATGGGCATCAGACCGGACCACAGGGCAATGGGAGAAGGTGGCCTGGTGTGATGAATCATGTTTTCCTTTACATCATTGGGTAATGCCATTGATGTGGAAGTTACTTTGATATGCACTACCTACATAAACATTGTTGCTGACCAAGTAAACCACTTCATGGAAACGGCATTGCCCTCTTTCAGCAGGATAATGCGCTCTGCCGCACTGCAAAAATAGCTGGTTTGAGGAACACGACGAATTTGAGGTGTTGACTTGGCCTCCAAATTGAGCATGTGCTGTAAAATCCATGGAGACCCTACCTCGCAACTTACAGAACTTAAAGAATCTGCTACTACTGACAGCGGCTTGGGGCCAGATGCCACAGCATACCTTCAAAGGTCTAATGGAGTCCATCCCTCGATGGGTCAGGGCTGTTTTGCTGGCAAAAGGGGGACCTACTCAAGATTAGATGGTTGGTAATGTTATGGCTGATTGATGTAATTTTTAACCAGCAGCCTTCCTGAATAGTCATTACTAGAGAATTTTTTTTATTATTAAAAAAAATAAAAAAAAATAAGTGTATGGAGTTCATCTTTAACTAAAAGACCCCTTTGTATTTTGGATGGAAAAGATGACACAAAGATCTCTTTTTAAGTGATGTTGATCTAGAACGCAACAAAGACAACCCGCCTCTAACTCTAATCCTTTATCAACTGTCACACTGAAATCCAACACATTCTTCTGATGACCTACTAGTAAACACAAGCTCAAATAATTCCGACAATGGTTAAGAAGGACGCAACACTGCTGGTACATTCTGTTCTGGCTCCAGCATTCCAGACAAGTGCCGCCTATTAAAGTATAACTCCTTCCACTAAAATTCCTTCTTATGCAAATTAGGATTTATGTAATACAGGTCTGCAACACTTAACGGTTTATATACTCCACAAAAATTAGTGTCGTACCAGCAGAGAGGGAAAAGGCTTTGAAAACCACGTATAAGAAGTCACAATCCTCAGGCTGTATAGGACGGTAAGGAAATACCAGATATGTATATACTTGTTTTCTGGAATTCAGCTGGTTTTCCAGAGACCAGAAATCACTTTAAATTTTGACTTATAGATGCATTCTTCCTGTGCAGCAACCACACACACATTTTACCTTTTGATGCAAAATCCTACACGCAGGTCTGTTCCAAATACTGTATTAGAGATGGCAGAGACTTGCAGCATGTTTATGCATGTGCAGAACCCTCACCCAAACACCCACCTAAGTGGACATCCAGCACATCTCAGGCTGGTCCAAAGAACTTGAAGACCTGGAGCATGTCTGCATATGTGCAGAATCTCCATCATGCACATACTAGAAGTCTCAAGATGACAGTTCAAGTACAGAGTGAAGCAAGGTAAACAACGCTGGACCCCATGAACAAAAAGGTAGGCAACCTTAGCACTCCAGGTGTTGAACTACAAGTCCCATTAGGCATTCCAAGACTGACAGTCACAAGCATGGCTCCCAGAGGAATGATGAAATGTGTAGTTTTACTACAGCTGGAGTGCCGAGGTTGCCTATCCCTGGACTAGTAAGCAATCTTTTTTTTATTCTCATACAAGGGCAGGTATTACATAGACTGAATTTAGTTTTCGCTAGGGAGATTGAAGTTCCTCCATTTAAGCGAAGGCCTTTGCTGCATGAGACACGAGTGTGCTGAATCCAGGCCAAGATGCAATAACTCACACTGCATCCGCTGATACAAAGCACACAGACATAAAAGTGGAATGTCCTCGTCTTTCAGCAAGGTCACAACAGGAAATAACCCCCAGGATTTAGCAGAAATGTCCTTTCTCTAGGATCTGGTAGAGGCAGACAAACTGGTTTTTGTGTTGAAGGGTATTCAAGGAGTTCCTTGAACAAGCGTGATGCTTCCAATACTTTCTGGCAGCATCTCATTTAGACTAGAAATACTTCTTAGTTTATGACCCTAGAACAGCAGGGTGCACTGCAAACCTGAACAGGCAATACACACAGGACATGAAAAGCAGATTGTCAGAAGGCTCCAAGCGACTGGAATAGGATAATGCTTGTAGCGGATTGCTGGCTAAATACAGAGCTCTGAACCCGGTGAACTCAGGCTAGGCATGAGGGTGGCTTTAAAGAACTAAGAATTCTCTCCCCACAGTGTGGATTTCCAGTACAAAGTAGCAGCTTTAGGCCTCATTCACACTACTACATATCCGTGCTGCATGCATGGCCGTATTGGGCAGCACCCAGGAAGGACAGGTGCTGTGTGTGATTGTACGCAGCAGCCTGTTCTATGGGAGTACGCAGCTGTGCGCTCACCCGAACTGTACGTCCATGCGGGTGTCCATACTTGTACGCGGACAGGATGGATCCTGTCTGCGTCCGAGCAGGGACACCCACACAGACGTGCAGTTCGGGTGAGCGTATGGCCGCGTACTCCCATAGAGATAAACAGGCTGCTGCGTGCAATCAAACAACAGCACCTGTCCATCCCAGGGGCGGCCCGATACGGATCTATACGGGCCTGCTGTTAGTAGCGTGAACGAGGCCTTAGGCTGGTGCGTTGGGGCTGCGCTGGCTGCCTTTTCCATGCTCCAATTAGCTTGGCTTCTAATGGGCTCAATTCACACTACCACATTTCCCATAGAACTTAAAGAGGAACTGCAGCTAGTACTACACTTAACTCTTCCAGTGGGGCTACCCTCGCACTGCAAGGGTTAACTACTCATTTTGGTCTACAGACTGGGATAAAGAAGATTTGCTCATGTGATCCTCAGTCCTGCGACAACCAGTGCTCCCCTCTCTTCCTCTGCTCCAGCTGTGGTACGTCTCACAGCGTCCTCACGTCTACTGCAGGTGATCTGCATTAGACATGACGACATCAGTGTGGCGCAGCT